GATCTTAAACCTTCCGTAATCTCCTTTACTGTTAGAGAAGATTTGTTATGTAAGACCAACAACTTATCCAGTATGTCACTGGGTAATTTGTGTCTCATATGGACTTGGATTATCCAGTCCGATGCATCGAGATTCACTTTGTTGTCAAGCGCTTTGAGCAAGGACTCAAGCTCCAATCTAAAGGCTTGGAGTGAGTCAGCTGATCCATTTGAAGTGGAAATATCTAACAGTTTCTGGGTTATAAGTCTAATAGTCCTTTCTGGCTTAGCATAATTTTCCTTAAGGAGCTGTACTGCACTATCATAACCATCATCAGTGAACGTCAAATTACAGACCACTGTTAACGCTTCATTCTTTAAGACAACTTGTAAATATGGAAATATTGTGGTCTTTGCTATAGTGGCATTAGAATCCACTGAATCGACAAATTTGTTCCAGAAGTTATTCCAACTCTCGTCCTCTGTACCAGAGAAAGTTGGTAGACTGAGCGATGGTAATATGACTTCTGGTTGTGTCGGGTTTTGGAAAGCTGTGGCTGCAATGTTTGTTATGGCCTTGTGTATGGTTATTAACTTAACAAAGTGTTGTAATTTTGTTTGTATTACATCTTCATACTCTGCGTGTTCTTGTACAACAGCTTCCATTACATCTTCTTTGATGTTAGTAGCAGCAAGAACATCCTGATATTTTAGGATTTGCATTTGTACATGTTGAAATTTGCTCTCTGCAACCTTATGATGGCCTTCCAGTTCTATATAATCGACTGGAGGTTGATTACATAAATCATCACATTTTTGGATGTCAGGCTAAATAACCCATCATACCTGTGAGGGTCGTTTTTACATTTTTGGCATCAGACATGATGGCTGTATTTGCTAGCTGTGTTGCAATTGTTCTAGTGCTAACCCTTGTTGGACTTTGATTTGGACTATTACTAGCACTTGAGCTAGTAGAGCTACTAGTTTCCGAATTAGAGCTGTTTATCATTTTAAATTCACATTATATAATCATACACACTATAATTTGAGTGGTAACCTTGTATCTATGCTGGATTTACCTCAAGTTAGCCCCTCAAAATCACTCTTAGTTGGTACAGAGACACAGATTAACACTCAAAGGTGAAATGATTATAGGTATATTATTACTATAGTTATGGTAATATTATATATACAACACAACTCGGGTTGTCTTGAGAAACTGCATAAAAATATGTGCTTCCTAGGTTGAAATATAGGTTCAACTCTAGACAAGTGTAAATTATTACCCTTACACCAGGTTAGCACAATAAATTAGACTAGGTTGCTGTACAACACCAGCCAAAAATGTCCTACCTTTGTGCAAGAACTGGTTGTAAATAATGTGACATGCAGTAATTGTTACAGTAATGGTGCAATATTAATTATTATGTAATGTTTATATAAACACTTAAAATTATATGTACATTTATGAGTAAATTAATTAGCCTCTTAACAACCTCTTGTAATGAAAAAGCACAAGTGTTCCTTGGGTTCAGGCTTCGGAACAATAATAGTGTTTGTTGTAAGTTCTGTTCACTTGTTAGCTGAGATTGAAAAAGTTAGGCAAGAAATTGTATAGCAGTGTCTTCCTGCTATATTTAATATATGTGCAAATACTTCACTTATGTTTATATAGATCCTAATCAGGATCTTGTACCTGGGTTCAAAGGATTAAACTTATGTGGGAAAATTCTAGCAGGCTGTAATTCTATTATTCTATTTTTTATTCAAATATTTACTTTAATTTATTTTTCAGTTGACTTTAATATTATATTATTTTTCTTCTAAGTTAGTTCTTAGGTCTTAGTTAGTGGACTGTATATTTTGATTCAACCTTCTAAAATATTTCTGCACAAGTAATTGGGGGACAATTTGTGGCTTAAACGACTTTTGAAGTGGATCCTTCATAAACTACAAATTGTTTACCTAGTCTTTAATATAAATTATAAATCATACCGCATATGGTGGTCTAATCTACTGTAATTAAACTTATAGTTAATCTATCTACAGTATAAAATGAAAGGGGGCCTTAACTGATACTGTAGTTGTGGCCTGGCAAGGCTGAATAATTTTAGCATCAGAATAAGGTGTGGCCCTGTGCCTCAGTGTGCCACATAATAGTGGCTATCTGGAGCCCTGCAAGGCTTAATGTACAGCATTGTAACAAATTTCTATAATTATCTTGGGAGTCAGCTGTAATCCAAAGTAACTTCATATCACTCTTTCCTGCCGAATGTTTAGAATTAATAATGGTTCCCTAAACATATAATTACAGGTATGGCATGGAATATATGTGTGTGTGTAGTAGAGCTGAGTAAACATACTTGTTTGGGATTTTCTCATGCTAATAACCGGCTACTTAATCTATATTATATGGTGCACCTATAATACCAGAGTCTAAAGCAGTCGGATACTTAGCTCTTCTCTTTGGTAATGAGATCTTCGGTAGGACGGATCAAAGAGGATCCTGTGTCGAAGCTCGGAGAAAGAACTTTTTGGTGTTGTAAAATTTGTCAGGGAGTGCTTCCTGACTGTGTTTACAAGTTGCTGTGTTGTGATGCTCGGCCTCCCTCCTTGTTCCAATGTTTTGGTTCTACTTCTGATTTTATTTAACAACAGCAAAAGAGTCAAGCTGTACTTTTGGTGTTGGAAATTACATTCAGGCGTAGTGAACACTTTTTTATTAAGTTTAAACACTAGACTGCTGTTTAAAAATAGATGAGATATATATAAATATACGTCTTGTTGGATGACGTCACTGATTAACCCATTCTCCTTTTCTTTATGGGGTAACTTATGTTATTTTCTGTGTCGGATTTCTGACAAATGCAATCGGAAACATTGAAATGGAATTCGTGACATATTTAGCATAGCGTGCATTGTTGCTATTATGTGCAACAGATGGCGATGTTTTTCCAAAAGGCATGTTTTTACCTATCACAAGGGTGGTATCTATATAGTAGGTACATAAAAAGATGCGCCTATTCGAATGCAACGTTGTGTCAAAATTTCAAAGCAATCGGTGAAGAACTTTGAGACATTACAGCATGTGTTGCTCTTACGTCCAACAGATGGCAATGTTTTTTCCTGTCACAGGCGAGGCATGTATATAGTAGATATATAAAAAGACGCGCCTTTTCGAATGCAACGTTATGTCAAAATTTCAAAGCAATCGGTAAAGAAGTTTCGACGATTTTCCTCACATGAAAAACACATGAAAAACAGAGATTTTCAGAAAAAAACATGTTTTTTTTACCATCACAGACGTAACATCTATATAGCATGTATAAAAAAACGTACTCGGATGCAATGGAATGTTGTGTGAAAATTTCAAAGCAATCAGTGAAGAACTTTCGGAGGTTAGCGGTTATGCACAAACGAACATTTCCATTATTATTTATATAGATTAGGGCTGAGTGTATAATATTGTTGTGATAAGATTTCGACCCCATTTAATGAGGGAATAGTAAGTGGTGATCGAAGAGTAGAGCAGCCACTTGATATGGATGGTTGGTGAAGCCAGGATATGATATAGGATTGCTACCAGGTTGTAGCAGCTCAGAGTGTTGTAAAATAATATTTAAATTTTTAATATCATGTATTGTATATTCTTTTTCGTTTATTAAATGTCCATTGTTAACTGGCTTTTGTTCTTGTCCTGGTGAGGTTTCCCAAAAGGTAGGAGAGAGAGAGAGGCAGAAAGAGATCACGATCGTGGACTGAGTCGCAGAAAGTACTAATTTACAAAAGGAGGATTGAGGAGATCATTCCAAACAAGGAGAGAGTGGGGAGTCATGGCGGCTCAAGTAGGGTGCATGCACAAGACAATGAGCCAGTGTTGAAACAGCACCCCTAAATTTATGATGCTGAACCCGTCTCCAAGATCAAGAGACATACAGGGTGATCTTCTGAGTAGATTTCGAGCACTCCAGTGTCCACTGCTGGTTGACCAACACTAGCAGAAGTGTGGCTGCCAAGGTCGGTTGTCTATTCCGGCAGTGTGGTTGGGAGACGTTGTCCGCCTGTATGCAAGTAACCGTCTGGTGCAGCAACCAGAGCTCTCTTTGGTGGTTTCAGTTCCATAAGCCCCAACCCCCCTCAGGCCAGAACATAAGATACTGGGTAAGATAAGAGATGCAGATGATTGCAAAGCCCTTCAAATTGATCTAGATAAAATAAGTGCATGGAGCATCAAGCTGGAAATGGAATTCAATGTGAATAAATGCCATGTTATAGAATGGGGAATTAAAGAAATTAGACCACACACAAATTATGTGGAAAAGAATTACAGAATTTTAATAAAGAATGAGACTTTGGGATGGCTCTGGATAGTAATCTGTTGCTAGAGGAACACATAAAGAACATAATGAGAGGAGCGCATGTGTCGCTTTCCAACTTCAGACTTGCTTGATATGGATGGTGAAATACTAAAGAAAATGTTCATTTCTTTTGAGAGATCAAAATTGGAATATTCAGCAGTTGTATGGTGGCCATATCTCAAGGAGCACATCAATAAACTGCAGAAGGTGCACCGGCACGCTACCAAACATCTTCCGGAAATGAAAAACGTGAGTTACGAGGAGAGACTAGAGGCATTAAACAAGCCAAAACTAGAAATAGAAGAAAAAGAGGTGATATGATCACCAATTACACAATAATAACAGCAGTGGACCAACTTGACAGAGGAATTCCTGAAACCAGCAACATCATGAACAAGAGGACACAGATTCAAGCTAAGAAAACAGAGGTGCCGACTATATATTAGAAAGTATTTCATTGCAAACAGAGTGGTTGATAGTTGGAACAATCTAAGTGAGAAAATGATGGAGACCAAAATGGTTAGTAGTTTCAAAGCATTATGTGACAAAGGGTACTGGGAAGACGGGCCACCACGAACGTAACTTTCATCGTGTAACTACATTTAGTTAATTACACTTAGGTAATTATACACACACACACACACAAAACAGTAAGAAAGCCCACTTGTCTATGAAGAAATGTCCGAGGCTGGCATTGTAGTAAGGAGTGAGAACACCGTCTTCCTCAGAGAGGTCAATCAGCTTCTTGGCCAGATGGTAGGCCTGCTGGTCTCCAGGTCTGCCGGCCTCCGTCACCACGCGCCAGTCTGTCCAACACGCAAATATTTCACCCTCGGACAGTGGAAATATTTAGCCATTAATTAATATAATTGCATTCACTTATACCTTTCAATTGAAGCTTCCACAGTTAGATCATTTCTTTTCATATGGTCATTGATAACGTGTATGAACATAGGAGTGGTGTTTCATATGTGTCAGTATAAGAGGCAAGGAAAGAGGTACGTGAACTCAATTAATCAAACATGGATTTGAATCATGACTCTCTAAACACACACACAACACACCTGCAACAATCAATATTATTAATATTCAAAGTATGTTTGACTCTCCAAGAATGGAGGTCAAACGCTTGGTGCTGGCCCCACCCAACTTTGCAGGGAAAAACTGTCTGGGGTATGAGACGAACATGGGGTGGTCAGGGTCGGCGTAAATAAAAGGGGCCAGCAAATGAAAAATATTGGAAAAAAAAATCGTAAATTTGCCAAAAAATAGAAAGTGTTTGCCTGTGGCAACACAATGTTTAAAATTCCATGATATATAATAAAAAGTTATGTAATTATGGATATTTCCCCTCCTCCCGTCACAAAGTGGACACGTGACCCACGTCATTCGTACTATGGTGCGTAATTTGTTCTTCATTAGTAATGTGTAACACCTGTCCCTACAACTGTTCACTAGTCTTTTACGTTCTTGTACATACATTCTTTTGAATAAAGATTATTATTACTATTATTATTATTATTATTTTTTTTTATTATTATTATTATTATTTTTATTATTATTATTATTATTCTAAATATTATATTTTTTATCTAAAAATTAGATCTTCTTACCAAATTATAATAATCTGGAAGTCAATAGCATGTTTATACACAGGAGGCGGGTGGAGGGGAGCCGCTGGGGTGTGTAACAGTGAGCTAAGGGACATGGAGGTGGGAAGATATACGCCGTGGTCATACATAGTTACGGGCTATCATGATTGTTATATCAGTGTCGCATCATATTTTTATCTAGACAATAATATAGACGATGGTACAGAGAGCACACGTATAGGTTGCTGCATTGACTACACCTACGACAGCGATGATAAATAAACCCTTTAGTTACAGTCATAGGGGAAGGGAGTGTGAGGGCAGGGAGGTTATCTTGAGGTTATCTTGAGATGATTTCGGGGCTTTTTAGTGTCCCCGCAGCCCGGTCCTCGACCAGGCCTCCACCCCCAGGAAGCAGCCCGTGACAGCTGACTAACACCCAGGTACCTATTTTACTGCTAGGTAACAGGGGCATAGGGTGAAAGAAACTTTGCCCAATGTTTCTCGCCGGCGCCTGGGATCGAACCCAGGACCACAGGATCACAAATCCAGCGTGCTGTCCGCTCGGCCGACCGGCTCCGGGAGGGAGGAGGTGGGGGAAGGAAGTGTGAGGGCAGGGAGGGAGGGAGTAGATAGGGGAAGGGATTGTGAGGACAGGGAGGAAGGGAGTGCAAGAGCAAAGAGGAAGGGAGTGTGAGAGCAAGGAGGAAGGGAGTGTGAGAGCAGGGAGGAAGGGAGTGTGAGAGCAGGGAGGAAGGGAGTGTGAGAGCAGGGAGGAAGGGAGTGTGAGAGCAGGGAGGAAAGGAGTGTGAGAGCAGGGAGGAAGGGAGTGTGAGAGCAGGGAGGAAGGGAGTGTGAGAGCAGGGAGGAAAGGAGTGTGAGAGCAGGGAGGAAAGGAGTGTGAGAGCAGGGAGGAAGGGAGTGTGAGAGCAGGGAGGAAGGGAGTGTGAGAGCAGGGAGGAAGGAAGTGTGAGAGCAGGGAGGAATGGAGTGTGAGGGCAGGGAGGAAGGGAGTGTGAGAACATGGTGAGAGTTTGTTTTACCCCAGACTTTATCATGAACGAGTCACTATTTTACCCCAAACTGCACCAAGATATCAACCTTTTCCCAAGCTGCACCAAGAAGGCAACCTTACCCCAAGCTGCACTAAGATGTAAACCTTATCCCCAACCTGCACCAAGACGTTAACCCAAGCTGCACCAAGACGTTAACCCAAGCTGCACCAAGACGTTAACCCAAGCTGCACCAAGACGTTAACCCAAGCTGCACCAAGACGTTAACCCAAGCTGCACCAAGACGTTAACCCAAGCTGCACCAAGACGTTAACCCAAGCTGCACCAAGACGTTAACCCAACCTGCACCAAGACGTTAACCCAACCTGCACCAAGACGTTAACCCAAGCTGCACCAAGACGTTAACCCAAGCTGCACCAAGACGTTAACCCAAGCTGCACCAAGACGTTAACCCAAGCTGCACCAAGACGTTAACCCAAGCTGCACCAAGACGTTAACCCAAGCTGCACCAAGACGTTAACCCAAGCTGCACCAAGACGTTAACCCAACCTGCACCAAGACGTTAACCCAACCTGCACCAAGACGTTAACCCAAGCTGCACCAAGACGTTAACCCAAGCTGCACCAAGACGTTAACCCAACCTGCACCAAGACGTTAACCCAACCTGCACCAAGACGTTAACCCAAGCTGCACCAAGACGTTAACCCAACCTGCACCAAGACGTTAACCCAAGCTGCACCAAGACGTTAACCCAACCTGCACCAAGACGTTAACCCAACCTGCACCAAGACGTTAACCCAAGCTGCACCAAGACGTTAACCCAAGCTGCACCAAGACGTTAACCCAAGCTGCACCAAGACGTTAACCCAAGCTGCACCAAGACGTTAACCCAAGCTGCACCAAGATGTCAACCTTACCCCAAGCGTTATCAGGAAGGACGGGGCTAAGAGCATTGAGGGTGGAGGCCAGCTTGTACAAGGGGTTGTCCTGTCCTCCGTGAATCCACTCTGCTCCCTCCTCCACCAGCACACCATCTGCAGATACACAAAACATTGAAAATATCAGTACCTCCAACTTTGCATTTGATGCAAAAATCGGGCGTGAAATATATTCAGATGAAAACATTAAATCGCTACAAGTCTATCTAGAAAGTGTAAGGTAGCAGCACCCTTTACCTCGTCAAACCCTCAAAAGCAACGACCAGGTAGGGGTGTGGACGCCACATTAACGAAGCAATGAAGAACAATGATCCCAACTTTTTGGGGATCGATTGGTCTCTCTCTGCACCAGCAGGACAGTTCTAGAGTAGTCGCCTTAGTAAGGTTGTGAAACCATCTGACTGTATCTCTCTGTACCTACTGTGTACCTACAGGTTCGAACACACTCTGTTTTGGCGCTGTGCTGCTGTTCTCTGCTGTTCATTCTAATTATCACCATCTCCTGCTATTCCCTTCTTGCTCTCACAAATTATCTCTGCCTGATCAATATTGGCAACATACCTTGGGCTAGCTAGAGTGTCAGACCCACATTTTTCCATGGACGCCTAGGAAGGAGTAATGATAACTTAGTCAAGCTTTATAATATATACTGAAAAGATTATTCATACCCCACAATCATCTAAAACACACAGATAAACATAACTATATATATAACTAAACCAAGAAGTATAACTTAATGTAAATTGTCTATAGCCTCATCCGGCTGGGCCTCCTGATAGCCTGGACCTAGATTCACGAAGCTCCATGTATTTCTTGGTAAGTATGTTTGCTACGATGGTTCCTAAGTGCCGGCTAAGAACGCGGCAAAGAGCGATTCAAACAAATAAAGTTACAAGGATTTTTAAGTACAGGACAATAGTTCACTTAGCTCTCACTAGATGTCATTAGGGCTTTTAGTTTGGCCAATCAGAGAGAAGGTAACATTTTTCATCTTACATCTGTAGCCAATCACAACGCTGGCATATCGGAGCTTTTCCATGATGCACTTGCGACTTATTTACGTAAAATTTTCTTATAAAATTAGTATATTTCGAAGTGTTTTTCAACTTGTACAGTCAGCACCGACATTGTAGTACACAAATATGTTAATTTTTTTGTTTACCTATGTAATTCTAAGAGACAGTGTATGGCTTCCCTTGTCGCTCCCAAGATTTGCGAAGTGATGGTATTTATTTATGTAAATATGTACCTAAATTTACTCAAGGGCCGCTATCTATCTAGTGGCCTCGACGAGGACAACAAGCCGGGTTTTTTTTAAGTCCCGCCAATTGTCCTAATGATATTTTCTTGCTGGATTTTTGCATTTACGACTTCACCGGGTAGACGGTCTCATGGGTTTTAACCATCTGGGTAAAAAAACATATGTTTTCAGTCCTACTTAAGAGGACATACTCTCCATCACTATATCTGCGATTGCCCTGTTACCAGTGACTTCATACCAAATGGTATGAGTCACTTTGAGCACTGTAATCACTCCATACACCCAGGAATATTGGAAGATATTCTTGTGCTGCACCCAGATTTTGCTAGTGGGGGCTAATAGATCAGCCTTACATATTTTGCTCTCCTCTGAATCCATGTATGACTGGCCGTCCTGTGAGATGGGGATGTTGGATGAACTTGTAGCTGGTTTTTGATCTACACTGTGTGGTCCTTCATACAGAATAGGGAAGCAATACATTGCTGTGTATACCGAAGCATGTTAAAAAAATACATTATTTGAAAGGAGTGTTGTGGAAACTGGTAAGAGTAATTATAAAATAATGTTGCCATGATTCAGTGCTTATCTCTTATGAAAATCGTGAAGTTGTTGTTTAGTCAGAGTTGATTTGTTTTTTGTATTGAGGCTGGTATTTTATCACTTGATTCCATGTATGCCTAACCATCCTGTGAGATGGGAGTATTAGATGAACTTATAGCTAATTTTTATCTACACTGTGTAATTTTCCATATAGAATAGGGTAGCAGCACATTGCTGTGTATACCTAAGTTTCTTAATAAACAAAAAATTAAAGATGTTAAATTATTACCAGTGCTATCCTTATTAAATCATGTTAACCATGCATAATTAGGATCTCATGTTGATATGAAACAGTCATATTTCTTTTGAATCGTTCAATAAATTGTGCATTATGTCTTAATTTTTTCACTTCTTTGGATACACTGTACAGTACTAAAAGCTAGAATATAAATAAACCAGTAATATTTCTTTCATTATATTTTTTAATTAAATAACTTCATCAATATTTTTTCAGCTTTGATATCCCCAGAGTCAAACTTAATCTGTGTAAACACAATGCAAATAAAGGGACCTAGTCTATGGAACTCACTCCCAAAAGGTTGAAAAGCTGTCCAACATTTGCCTCATTCAGAAACAAAACCAAAAAGTACCTATTTCATCTTCATAGTTTCCTACCTTGTGCTTTATTCAAAATTCTATATTTGTCTTACTTTTATTCCTACATTTGCCTTCCTGTATTTGACAATATTTATTCTATATTTGCCTCATTGAGAAACAAAACTAAAAAGTGCCTAAGTTAATCTTCATAGTTTCCAACCTTGTGCTTTATTCAAAATTCTATATTTGCCCCATTTTTATATTTTTTAAATTTTTATATTATTTATATTTATATTTTTTATATTTTTATATAATTTATTTATATATATTTTTTATGTTTCCTATATTTGCCTTCCTGTATTTGACTATATTTATTCTATGTTTGCCTCGTTGAAAAAAAACAAAACAAAAAGTGCCTAAATTCATCTTCATAGTTTCCTACTTTGTGCTTTAAAATTGCACTGTATCTAGTGCTACCCAATCCCCCAATTTTTATGTGGTGTTACGGTGCCCTCTCCTATTTCTTTCGTTTACCGGCTTAAAGAGTCATATCAGCTCTCCCTACTGATTCTCTGAGGTTCAGGGAGTCTAATGATATATGTGGCGACCAGACCGGCTGCCAGTTAAGGGAAGGAAGTTATATTATAAGTTGTAAATAAAGGAAAATTGGCGCCCTGTTATAAAATGAAACAGTATCCCCTACGGCAGATATGACCTTTTGGAAGGGACACAAGCCGATCGCGGATTGGCCGACGTAGGTCGCGGGCGACAAATCAGGGCCCGCCATGACGTCACCGAGTGCCCCGGGCGGCGCCAACGTCAGAGTTGTTCTGACCTTGGAAGCGACAGGACGCGCCTCGGTCTGCTCCCAAGGATTGGAGGCTCTGCAAGCCTTGTTCAGTGGATTGAGCTGGCCATCGCAGCCCATCACAGTTATTGGAGACCCTGCGCTTCTGGGAAGCAAAAGAGGAACCAAGTTCAGTGAGCAGAGGAGTGCCAAACTTGGAAAATAGTCGGCGACGACGCTGGGCGGCGCCGCTGGCTGGACGTTGAGGTCTGGAAGGTGGGCGGGCAGGCCTAGCTGTGACTGGGGTCACATCCACTGAGAATCTTGGAAGGACGATACCGTGCCTAGGACACGGAGCAACGCCCTGTGGGAGAGGCGAGTGTGGGGAAAAATAGTGATTAGCTCAGCGCCCATCGATGAACCAGGATTGGGGCAGCTGAATCTCAGGGATTGGAACGGCGACGACGCGAAGGCTTCACGACACCTGAGGACCTGTGGAACGTCCTGGATCGTCGAGGATCGACCCAAGGAAGCGTGGGAACCTCACACCATCGAGGGACAGGCGTCGTGAGCCAGGAGTGTAAGGTAGATCATTTTTCCCTCCCATTACCCCTTGTATGAGTAGGCTAGTTAGGCCACAATATTTACTTGTGTATGTGGCAGCAAGACTTTATTACTTTAATAGTAGAATAGGCTGCAAAGCAGCTTGTGTCCAGGACTGTCAGAGAGGACAGTGTGTATGGATGACAGGACAGTGAAGAAGAGGTGCCGACGTGGTGAAGAGACCCTCCTGTGAGAGTGTGACTCCTGTCTTCCTGCCCAGTTGAAGGAGTGTTGGAGGTCGTGGAAGAAGAGGCTGACGATCTCCAGACTCATGATCCATATTCCATATCCATGTATTACTTGTGATTGTGTGTGTGTGTTCATGTAATTTGCATCAGTAAATCCACACATTTTATTACTGTGTTTGAGTGTGCCTCCATTTATGATATTTCTCTATGAGCATACATTTCTGGCTACAAACAATATATAATACACCCACTGAACTGCATTGCTGGGGTGCAGATATAATAACCCAGCTGGAGACCTTGCTAAGAGGAAGATAGAGAAGACAGGCGGGAAAGGAGTTCCTGCAACCTTTTTTTTGTCTGGCAGGCAAGGCTCAGGGAGGTTATGGTTATAAGGTAAGCCTGAGTCTTCCTTCACTCCCCCACGGGTCTAGGCCGGAACTGTTAACAGCAGTTTCCCCGTGTTTGACTGAAGGGCTTCCAGGGTGAATGAGTGGCACCCCCTTTTGTGGTGGAAGCAAAGACCTGCGGAGGTGGGCATTGTTGGTCCTATCTTGTGTGACCAAGGAGACTCCGGTGAATCCCGGGAGTCGGAGGGGCTGAGTATTTGGGCCTTTTGAGCCCCTAGCAGTTAAGTGTTAGCAGAGCCCCGGACCGCCCACCCCCACGTGACAAGAGAACTGGCGACCTTGCCAGGATTCGAACCCCAGTAGCCAAGAACTGGGAACTTCGCCAGGAAGCGTGGATCAAGCTACAGTGTGGACCAAATTTCAAGACAAGTGTTGCCAGGGTACTAATACAGTGTGGCCAGTGAATTCAGTAGTACTGTTACTCAACCGGCTAAGGGACTGAAACGGTGAAATTAGTGCCTACTAACTTGTCTGTGCTGTCGTGTATGCTCAATGATATAGAGATGGAGGAGGACAAAGTAAAGAAATTTATTGACACAAGGGACGAGAGAATTTTGGAGGAGTGTACCAAGGCCCAGCTCCAACAAGTGGCAAACCACTTTGGGATCAGGTTGAGGACGACTAAGGTAGCGGAGCGAAGGATAGAGATCATGGCACAGCTCACATCTCAAGAGGAGCCGTCCCGAGGAGAGCCATCGCAAGGTGAACCGTCC